CTTTCATAAACTGCAATGACCAGACCTGAATACAATATTCCAGATGGGGTCTCACAAGAGCAGAGTACAGTGGGATTATCATCTCCATATTCCTAGAAGTTATGTCTCAGGGGCAGCTAGGTGGCGCACTGGATAGAGCTCTGGCCTTGGAGTCAGGAGGATCTGAGTTCAAATCCAGCCTCAGACACATAACACTTACTAGTTGTGTGACCCTGGGCAAGTCACTTAACCCCAATGCCTAACCAAAAAAAAAAAAAAAAAAAAAAAGAAGTAGTAGTTATTCCTCTCTTAATGCAGCCCAAGGTTGTATTAGCTTTTATGGCTTCCATATCATATTGCTGACTCATATTGAGCTAATAGCCCCCTAAACTCGTTAGATCCTTTTCACAAAAACTATCCTATAACTATTTCTCCCTCATAATGTACTTCTGAAATAGATTTTTTTTGGTACCAAAATGCAAGACTTGACATTTATCATTACTGAATTTAGCTATTCCTTGTTGACAAGTCCCAGTGATTTACCTATGAAGTCACATTTGCCTCTTTGCATTAGGACCTTTAGTTCTTGCTTCTTGCCTAAACTTTGTGCGTTGTATTTGAGACCATGAGTTTTCTTCCTGGTTCCTTTCTTGGATTTTGTCTCCTGTGAACTTCTGGGTGTCTCAATTACTATTCTTTTGTTTTTATTGTACCTACTCTCTTTGGTATGTAATGTGGGGGATATACATAGGTAGTTTTCTCTCCCTCCCCCAACCCTTTTAGTTTAAAAGCCCTTCTAATTAGATTTGCAAATCATCTGACAAATACATTCTTACTAATCTTTGCTAGGTTTCCGCCATCTCTGTCCAGGAATCTGTCATCCATATATTTTATGCTATGGTCCAGAAATCCAAATCCCATTACCAGATATCACATTCTAAGCCAGCTGTTCACTTCCCTAATTAATATTTCTTTTCTCCAGCCCTTGTCTTTGGTGGGCAACAGTTAAGAAAACATAACCTGTGCTCTTTTGGTTTTCAGCTTCTTGCCCAACGCTGCATAATTATTGGCAACATTTTTAAAGTTCCTTCTGGTAATATTTCTGCACAAATGAATAAATCTCAAGAGTCAGTCTGTTGTCTTTAATACCTTCTCCAGGAAGATGAGAGATTTTTCCTTCTCGTCTGTCTCTGAACTCTTTGAAATCTATTCTTCCAACATCTATGGTACGTGTCAGCCTATGCCCAGCTTTCATTTCCTTCTTTATCGCAAACTATCATATGGAATCAATATGTCCCGCCCCCACAAAGTTTTCATCATTTCTGCCTCAAACTCTAGCTCTTCCTTGTTGGTGAGAATCAGGTTCAAGGGAATAGTCCCTCTCTACTTTCTGAAAGATGAAATTATAGTTGAGGCAAAGCAAGAAATTTCTAGCTGCTTTGCTTTTGGGAGAAAAGGAAGGAGGGAGAGAGAGAGAGAGACAGAGAGAGAGACAGAGAGAGACAGAGAGAGCTAGCAAATATCCAGATGATTTCGGTCCTCTCTAACTACAGTATCACACTGCCAGGCCAGGCCATATAACTGGCATCGTAGTTGTAGAGATAAGACAGCTCTTCAGAGGCTATCTATTCCATCCCCCTCATTTTACAATCGAGGAAAGAGGCCCAGGGAAGTTAAACCATTTCTTACTCCACTGATCTTCACCCAAATGCTTTCTGCCTCTGGTCCCTGTATTTCCCCACACAATACTTCAATGTATTCATGATTTCAGTGTGATTACTTGATACAGTCACTGCATACAATGTTACTGTACTAATCCCTTTATCTATTCTGTTCCTTTTGAATGAGGTGCAGCCTTCCCCAGTCACATTCCCATCACGAATTCCATTTCAACAAGTATCAGTGATACATTTGAAGTCAGATGTGTCCGCTTATATTAGAAGATTTAGTTCACCTGGCAAACAAGTGTGTGATTTTAAGGATCAAAGAGATAGAATCATGGAATCTCAAAATACTGATGCGAGAAATAATCTTGCAGGATATCTAGTCCAACTCTCTGGCCAAAGAAGAACCTTCTCTGTAGGGCTCCTGACAAGTGGTCACACACCCTTTAATTGAAGATATTTAGCAATAAGTAACTCACAGGCTAGAGGTGGGAGGGTCTTAGAGGTCCTCTAGTCCAAACCTCTCATTTTACAGCTAGGGAAACTGAGTCCCAGAGATGTTAAGTGACTTGCCTAAGGCCACACAATTAATAAATCCTCTGACTCCAAAGCCTTTCCACTGTTCCTCTGCCTTTTATATAAATCTAAGCCAAGGTAAGGTCACTTTGCAACACGTCATCACTTACAGGAATGTGCTTTAGTTAGTGAAGAGGACAACCTAATTAACCTTCAAAGTAGATATTGAAATTCTGCACCAAGGCCCAAAAGGATAGAAATAACCAATTCCCTGCTCCTAGGACTTCAAATCTTTCTGTTAGTCTGGAATTATTGTTATTTCAGACTAAGTATGAGCCATTGTTAGGACTCACAGATCATTTGATTTCAGGAAGGTTTTGCAATACATATTTATCAAGCTTTACTTAACTCCCTAAAAGTTTTGCATAAATCAAATTTTTGTAATTTTGCTTTATTTTAAATGCGCCAGGGAGACATTCTACTGAATAAACCAAATGGTGAATTCTTTGGTAAAGTAAAAAAAAATAATCACTTTTCCTTGTCTCAACCCAACCTGAATTTTTAAAATGTTTTCCAGGTGTTATTGAAAGCCAATAAGACTACAAATTAATTAGCTTAAAATGTATAAATTCTAACCCTGACTCTAACACCAACTCACTCTGTGACCATGGGAAAGTCTCTTTCCCTTTTTAGGACTCATCTGCAAAATGAGGGGATGGAACCTAACATGTTATGACTATGACTCCCAGCTCAGTCTCTAAGTCACAATGTAACCAAGTCACTCCCCCATCTCGGTCTCAATTTCCCCTTCTGTCACATGAGGAAGCTGGATTACATTGGTTCTAAGGTCCCTTCCAGTTCTAAAATTCTATGACCTGTTCATTCATTCTATACTTATTTATTAGTCATCTGATCTGGGAAGCGGCTGCAAATTTGGCCTTAGAGAGGAGTTGAGAAAATGAACCTCCCTCCCTTCTTTGTAGAGGCTGGTGATTATTGGAGTACAATACGGTATATACTGTCAGATCTGATGGATATGTTGGTTAGTTTTGCTGAAGGATATTTTGCCTCTCTTCCCCCCAGCCTTTTCCTTCTTATTCTTTGTTACACAGGATAGCTTGCTGGGTAAGTGATAGGAAGGGATATATTTGGAAATGAAGGCACTGTTTAAAAAAAAAATCACCACTAGGGGCACCCTTCCCCACTGCCTTCTCCTCTCACCCCACTCCATGGGCCAGGTCTCCCAAAACCCATCCAAGATGACTAGGTACAAGGTTGCCCTTCACCCACTACCCTTCCCTTTCACCCAGGCTTTTTGACAGCCTAGAGGAGATGAGAGACAACAATTCTACTGCTTCAGAGGAGATGGAGAATCACGAGGCCTTGCCACTTGATGATCTACTTCTTCCTAAGGTCGTCCAGGTCTAAGTATCCGGTCTACATCCATCTGCCTTGCAACCGAATTTTTAAAAAATGTGTTGTCTCTCCCAATTAGAGGGTGAATTCCTTGAGAGTAGAGAGTGTTTCACTTTTCCTATTTGTATCCCCAGTACTTGGCACATAATACTTTTTCATTCATTTAATATTTTTAAAAGACATGGTCCATGCCCTCGGGGCGCTTACAGTCTAGAATAAAGATAAGATACAACCACAGATTACTATAACATACAATATACTATAATAAATGCAAGAGAGAATTATGAAACAAAGTGCTATGTGAGGACTGAGGAAGTAAATTACCAATCAGGGGAATCAGGGAAGGTTTCCCAAAAGAGACAGCATTTGAATCAGTCTACAAAGAATGAGATTCAATGGGCAAACAGGGATTGAGGACATTCCAAGCATAGAGAATAACAAAGACGAGGCAGCATTGGTCCAGAGCGAGCAGCTGAAGTCATAGGACTGACTGAGATTGGCAAGGAAAAGAGCAGGGAAGAACACAGTGAGATCAGCCTAAGTGAGGAGGAGGGATACCACTTCTATGGCCAAAGGACAGGAGAAGATGGAGAATGAGACTGCTAAGTTTTGAGGCATGGAGGATGATGGAGAAGGGAGTTCAGATCAGATGCTCTGTATCTTTTCAGGGAAGCAGCAGTATCTATTTTAAGTGTGGGTTGGAGGAGGGTCAGCATAGTTCACAGGATCATAAATGTTCTGGAAAGTACCTTAGAAGTCATCAAGTCCAGCCCCCTCATTTTTATAAACTGAGGCCAAGACAAGTTACATGACTGGCCCAAGATCACATGGGCTGTAAAGTAGAGACTCAATAAGGGCAGACCATGATTCTGAAGTCTCTTCCAACTGACATTTTTTTAAACCAAAACTCTGATTTCATCAAGGTAGAGAGCTCCTAGTGAAGAAATGTCCAACACCAATGTAGATGGTAATTGTTCTACAAGTTATAATGTTAAGAGAGCTCTGGAGGGGCAGCTTGTTGGCTCAGTGGATAGAGCACCGGCCCTGGATTCAGGAGGACCTGAGTTCAAATCCGGTCTCAGACCAAACACTTGACACTTACTAGCTGTGTGACCCTGGGCAAGTCACTTAACCCCATTGCCTAACCAAAAAAGTAAAAAAAAAAAAGAGAGAGAGAGAGAAAGAGAGAGCTCTGGGACACTGAGAGGTTACATAACTTGCCCAGGGTCTCAGAGCCAGTGTGAGATTGGCTGAGGTGAGATTTGAACTCTCAATCCACCACTCCCAGCTTCCTCTTGACATCCTATGTTCTATGATTATTGTTCTTGCTTAAAAGAAGGCATAATAACATACATTTTCGATGAGGTTTGACTTGATCATCTCAGAAATTCAGGCACCATCCCAAGCCCCAGTGCCTGTGCCTACCATGGCCGCAGTAATCCCAGGATAGAGCCGCAGGACGCCAACATTTCTCTCCGTGCTGCTGTGCACCACAAGTTGTTTGTTCATACTTGCCTTCAGAATGAGTTCACGGTTGACTGTTGGGCACAGAAAGAAGGCTACTGAAGACTTCAACAGGAGAAGCTATCACCAAATGCCTGTTTCTGTCCTGTGTTGGAGGGGCTTAAGGTCTGCTATTCCCTTACTGCTGCTCCCTTCATTCAAATCCTTCTTATTCTTCCAGGCTCTGCATCCATTCTACCTCATTCAAATCTTTCCCACTGTCCCTGCCCATGCCCATTTCTCTATTCTCTGGATTCCTGCAGCCCTTAGACGCTTGACTGCACGGTTCCTGTACTTGTCATTTGCAAAAACTGTGCATATGTCCTGTCTCCTCCAGGGTAGTGTGAGTTCCTCAAGGTCACATATCACCTAGCTCTTCTCCAAGTCTGGTCCCCTACCCCACCCCACCCACAGCAGAGCACAGCAAGGCTAAACACATTCAATTGGTGTTCAGCAAAGTACATCCCTACTGGACTGCATTTGTTTAACAAAACAGGGAGACAGGACAGTCTTCAGCCACCCTTCACTTTCACCCTCCCCCAAACACACTTATGCAGATGACATCAGATTATAGTGAACAGAGAGGGCAGGTCTGAAGGGCCAAAGAAATCACAGAAGAGCAAGATTGTGAAAATGGGGGGTGAACCATTGTACACAGCAACAGCAACATTGTGCGATGAGAACTTGGATAGACTTAACTATCAGCAATGCAATGATCTAAGACAATTCCAAAAGACTCATGATGGAAAATGCTATCCATATCCAGAGAAAGAATTATGGAGTCTGAAAGCAGATCAAAGCATACTATTTTTTCTTTCTTTTTTATTTTTTGTTTGTTCTTTCTTGTGGTTTTTCCCTTTGGTTCTAATTCTTCTTTACAACAGGACTAATGTGGAAATATGTTTAATATGATTGTACATGTAGAGCCCATATCTGATTGCATGCTATCTTGGGGAGGGGAGAGTGGAAGGAGGGGGAGAAAATTTAGAACTCAAAATCTTATAGAAGTGAATGTTGAAAACTAAAAACAAATAAATAAATAAAGAATATTAAGATGAACCAAAATAAATTAATTTAAAAAAATAAAAAAGTAGAAAAAGAAAAAAAAGAATATAAAAAAAAGAAAATGGGGGTGTATGTAGAAGGGTCTGAAGTGATATTTGGGATTTTTTTAAACATCATCTGATCACTTCCTTTTCCTTCTATCTGCCACTTCCAGAGTTGCTACCCACAGCGATGGATCCCAATGTCCTGCCCCTCTCTAGGTCTCATTTTCCTCATCTATAAAATGAAAGGATTAGACTAAATGATTGCTAATGCCCTTCCATCTCTAGCATTTTAAATTATGTATTCTAAATTCTGTCTCATCTGATATTCTATGTTCTGATTACTTTTGTTTAAATAAAGGTAAGACAAGGACAGTTAAGTGGCCCAGTGGATAGAGCACTGGGCCTGGAGTCATCTTACGAGTTCAAATCTGGCCTCAGACACTTACTAGTTGTGTGACCCTGGGCAAATCACTTAATCCTGTTTGCCTCAGTTTCCTCATCTGAAAAATGAGCTGGAAAATGGCAAACCACTCAAGTATCCTTGCTGAGAAAACCTCAAATTGGATTACAAAAATTCAGACATGACTGAAACGACTGAACAAAAACAAAGATAACAAATGAAATTCAATGTGTTAGAATTTGACCTTCCAGCCACCCTTCCAAGCTGAAGAAAACACTTCAACCTCTCATATATGGAATGAATTTAATATTCAGATAAACCTTGTGAGAGAAACAAGTCAAGTGGAAGCAGAGTGACCACTTCTTGGGTTTCACCAGATGACCTCTAAGATGACCTTTCTCCCTCTAAAAGCACCATTGAATTGGTCAGGGAGCTCCTTCAGGGGAAGGGCTATGTCTTACAGTTCTGTATTCTACACAGAGCCCAAAACAGCCTTTAGGGAATAAGAACACTAAACTCAGGGTCAGAAGCTCTGAGTACAAATCTTGATTCCAACACTTTCTAGTGATGACTATGGCGAAGCCACTTCCCCGCTTTGTACTATAGTTTCTCCCTCTGTAAATTGAAGACCATAGTAATAGCAAGCACTTACATAGAACTCTTCAGTGTTTCAAAGTATTTTGCAAATACCATCTTATCTGATCCTCACAATAAGCCTGAGAGGTTGGTACTAGTATTATTATCATCCCCATTTTACAGATGAGGAAACTAAAGCTGAGAGAGGTTAAGAAACTTGCCCAGGGTAACACAGCCAAAGTGTCTGGGTTGAGATTAAAACTAGGGTCTTCTTGACTCCAAATTCAGCTCTTATATGCCGAGTCTCCCAATGCCCAGTAATAACACTTGAACTACCTACTTCACAGGGTTATTGAAAAGAAAGTACTTTGTAACTCTGAAAATCCTATAGAAATTATTTATTAATGATTTAGTTATTAATTATTCATTAAATTAGTTAAATGATTTAGAAGAGACTTATGACAACTCCTTTCCTCCTTTACTAACCCAAAATGTGCTCAGAATATGAGCGCAGAGGTGGTGCCATACAACAGGGCTCTGTACTAAGAGATCAAAATTCCTGAACTGACTGCTGTTTCTGGCCCCACATCTCCATGAGACCTTAGGCAAGTCACTTCCCTTTTCAATTCTTTCCTCTTTCAGATGGAGCAAATAATCAGGGAAGACCAAATTCATTGATTCATTTAGACATTGAACAGATGTGAAGGACCCTGTGCTTACTGCTAAGAGACACACTGAAGGGGCAGCCAGGTGGCACAATGGATGGAGCACCAGCCCTAGAGTAAGGAGGACCTGAGTTTAAATCCGGCCTGAGACACTTTGACACTTACTAGCTGTGTGACCGTGGGCAAGTCACCTAACCCCAACTACCTCACCAAAAACAAACACACACACAGACACACACACATGCACACATATATACATACACAAAAAGATTAGCAGAGGGAAAGGGCCTTCAAAAATCATAGAATATAAAATATCAGAACCTTAGAACACAGAACATAGAATGTCAAAGCTAGAAGGGACTTTACCATGTAGGCCAATTCTCTCATCACACAGATAGGAAAACAGGCTTAGTGAGGTGAGCTGATTTGCTCAATGTTACAGGCAACTTAGTGAGAGATTCCAGCCTTAGTCTCTGGATTCTCAATCCCATGTTTTTCCTACTAGACCAAGCTGCCTCTCAGCACAATATTATGGAAGGTAGTTCCATGCTCCATTGTTAAAATATGAGACATTTATATTTTTTAATAAACTAAGGAAAATGTATTTATTGTAATTTCAAGGTCAAGGGAAGTAGGAATGAGCGATTTGGGAGATAGGCATGGAGGCCTGGGTACAGGGCCTGTGAATAGTAACAGCACTCCTCACTGCCCCCACTGTCCTCCCATCAATCAGTCCCCATACAATGGAGGGGCCAGGATCATTCGAACAAGGGAATTCTGTCTCAGCTGGGAGACCAGATAAGGCAGCAGATGAGGGTCGATGTGCCATTGCCTTCCAGTTTTCCAAGAGTTATGGCTCCAAGGGGAAAATATTTACACACAGACCTTAATTCCTGCCTACAAACCAGCCCCTGGCTTTTAATTAAATGGACTGATAGATAAACAGTGACTCAATCAGAACTTCTCACCCAAGGTCCTTCAATCCCCAGGGAAAGACAAGAGGAATGTCAGACTCAGGCAGCACCCAGGGCATCCCTCTGCTGATTACATCTATCTCAGAGAATCAGAAAAATCTTATAAGAGTCCTCAGAGGTCTCCTCCCATTGCAAGTGTTCTGAATAAAATCTCTTTGCTTCAGTAATTTCAGTGATGGGAAATTCACTACTTCACAGAGCAGTCATATATCTGAAAATTTAGAGATTCAATTCCATTTTATTAAGTGCCTACTGTATGCTCAACCTTGAACAGAGCCATAATTTTTCTCACACCTCCACTCCCTGCCGACTCTGACTGCTAGGTTGCTCTTCCTTCTCTCTTCTGTTTCTCCAGTATAATAGAAAAAACAATGACCCACGTTAAAGGTATCTTTCAAAGTCTTCTAATAATCAGACCCCTATCAAATGATCCAGCATTATCACCAAATAACAGATGATCAGAGCTAGTAGGGAGTTCAGAGATCTCTATTCTAACCTGAACTCAATGTCCCAACTACAGGTTTGGGGGAATTTCACTGACATTCAAGTGAAAAGGATCCAGGCCTTTTAGGGGGAGTGAGTCAATAATTTAACAGCCCAAGAAGAGTCTAAGGCCCCACTCACAGAAGCATAGTGTTTAGGCCAACGAAGTGATGATTTCATTACTCTGATCAGACCGCATCTGGAATACCATGTTTAGTTCTAGAGGTTATATTTGGGAGAAGGAAGGAAGTGAACGTTTATTAAGCATCTACTATGTGCCAGGCAATTTACAAATACTTATTTCATTTGATCCTCACAACAACCCTAGGAGGTAAGTGCTGTTATTACCCCTATTTTATAGTTTAGATAACTGAGGCAGGCAGAGGTTAAGTGACTTGTCCAGGGTCACAAAGCTAGTAACTGGAGGCTGGATTTGAACTCGGGTCTTCCTGATTCCAAACCCAATGTTCTATCCATTGTGTACCTAGCTGCCTCTAGCATCATAAGATCAAAGATTTGGAGCTAGAAGGGACATTAGGGGCCTCATAATCAAACCTTTACATTTTGTAGTTAAAGAAATTGAGGTGTAGAGAGGTTGTGATTTCCCCAAAGTCATACAGGTAACTGCTGGTCGAGCCAGGATTGGAAGCCAGATTTCAAGGAGAGGATTCTTTCCATCGTATCACGCTAGGGAGGCAGAAACACTGAGCAGCTGAACTGTGTCCAGAGGACAACAACCAGGATGATGAGGGGACTCAAAAGTATCCATCCAAAACAACTAAGGCCATTGAGCCTGACAAAGAGAAGACTTGGAGCAGACACGACTGCTGTCTTCAAGTGTCAAAGAATTAGGAACAAGACGGAAATGTTGCTGAGAGGCAGATTTCA